TTGTTCTAGAAAATTTTAAAAGTAAGGGTCTAAACTGCCTGGTAGAGCGAGCGGCAACGTTAAAATTAATATCAGATAAAAGAGATGGGCTACAGACTGACCCATTCATGAGTTTTACAAGAAATATTATACCAAGCATCTCCCTACGACTAGCGAGTGTCGGGAGATTTATAAGTTTTAAACGGTTAGTGTAAGGGCGAAGATTTAAACTGGAATCCCAATGCAAATGATTTAAGGCAAAAAGTAAAAATTGTTTTTGAACGGACTCTATTTTCTCAGAATGAACTTGATAACAAGGGTTCCATACCACGGAAGCATACTCTAATATASGCCTCRCCAAAGATGTAAAAAGAATTTTYGTGGTAAGCGGATCTCTAAATTCTTTAGACCAACGTTTAACAAAACGAAGAGCACCTTTAGCTTTAAAAACCTTGGAAGATGAGTGAAGATTAAAATTGAGTTTGAGGTTCATAGTTAATACCAAGTCAACAAAACTGCATACTTGCTACAACCTAAAGTTTTGTATTACGTATGAAGTAGGGTCTACAGATCTACGTGAAAAACACATTGTTTTACAGTTTTTAAGATTCAATGGCATGTCATATCTATCACACCAAGAAACTAKSTTGTTTAAGTCTGTTTGCAACTGACATCTTTCGCTATTTGAGGTGAATGATTTAAAAAGTTTTACATCGTCAGCAAATAATAAAACTCTTGAAAACTTAACAACAGATGGTATGTCATTAATAAATAACAAGAACAGAATTGGACCAAGATGGCTACCTTGAGGAACTCCTGAAGGAACATTGATTATGTCGAAAAGAGTATCTTTAAATATGACTTGTTGAATTCTATTACTAAGATAAGAAGCAACCCATTTTAGAAAAATTAGTTGGAAATCAAGAAGATCTAGTTTATTCAAAAGAATTGAATGGTTCACTTTATCAGAAGCTTTATTAAAATCTGTGCATATAACATCAGATGACTAATATAGTCAAATATCCACTCTGCGGTGGAAGCAGCATCTTGATCTGACAAAGGTCAAAGCTACGAAGGTATTTATGGTGTGCAATCGGGTATTCGGTGGCTTAGGTATTCCAAAGCAGAGGTCTTTGCTATAAGTCGGTGTGTAGAGTTAAACCTCCAACACAACTATCGCAATGAACGTACAGCTATACTAAGCGATTTTCCGCGAAATCAAATCGCTTTTGGTGCAGGAGTGTATAGAACGATTGAATAGTATATCAGATCATTACCAAGTGTACCTTATATGGGTGCCAGGTCACAAAGGTATAGCCGGGAATGAGCTGCTAGATGAGCTTGCCCACTCCGCAGCATCAACCAACATGGTAGGACCGGAACCTTTCATTGCGGTTGACCCTCACACCATAAAGGAGCTGTTCCGCAATGATAAAGCAGTAGATAGGGAGACAACTACTCCTAGGCATGCGCCTTGCCAAGTTGCTAATGTGTAGTTATAACCTTAAAATATCTAAATATGTAATCAACCCCCCAAGGGAAAAAGTCAAGCTACTTGCCGCCGTCTACACTGACCATTGTAAGCTTAAGAAGCACTTATTTAACATATGCCTAGCTTCCTGTGCGAATTGCCGATTGCCGAGCAGTCTGTAGACGCACGGTAAAGACCCTTGTATCCATGTTTCCAAATAGGGATCACTTCGCCTCAATAGTACTAGCAGTATATTGGAATTTAACAATTTTCTGGGCTAGTTGAACACAATATACCCTAGGTCGCAGTGCAATCCTCATTTACTTTTCTAATCTTATCTAAGTTAAGACCCACAACGATTATCTGCTTTAAAAAAATAAAATAATATTAATAATCGGCAAGAATTTATATATTTTATATTAACTCAAATGGCACTCCGCTTAATAAATTGTTTAAATTTCAACATTTTTTCAGAAACAACACTATTAGTAATAAATATTATCAATTTAAATAACAAATTTCTTTAAGGGGTTATATCCACTTGTGATTTAAAAAGAATTTATTTATTTTTTTTTTTTCATTTTTGAATGTACATATACATACATACATATATATTCAGGAATATTCTCTGAAAATCGATCCGACAATTAGTTTCGGAGATATGAGCGTATTACTAAGAACGTTTCCGAGCGTTCGAAATTAGCCGGAGCACGAGCCGGAGTAGCAGCTGTTTCTGTTTATACCTGAAACCTATGTTGAGGAATTTTAAGTTACAAATATGTGAACTCATCAGTTAGAAGTGACCTTCCACATGGAGAAGTCGTGTTTGTTCTCAGTTTGTGTATTTCTCAGTAAAAAAAATGCCTCGTAAAATAAACAGAGAAAGTCGTAGAACTTCCAATAAACAATTGTCTCGAAGAAATAAACGGAAGAACGTTTTCAATACGAAAACCGTGGAATATGATGAGAGCAGTTTCAGCGCTTCAGCAAAAAAACTTAAAGCGCAAGAGGAAATATTGCTTATTATTAGTAACTCGCGATACGTCAGTTGAATATAGAATTTTAAATTTTATAACTGTGTTTACGGCTATTAGTATGTATTTTGTAAAACTTGCCGTGAGTCAGTAAAATTTGAAACAGCATCAGAACGTGGACTTGGTTTTAAAATTGTTATCTTATGTGATAAATGTAGTCCTCGTAGTGTAAACTCTTGTAACTTTGTCAAACTCTCGTATGAAATAAATCGACGATTTATATTTGTGATGAGAGCCCTTGGGTTAGGTTTTGTGGGCTAATGGACATGCCAGCTTTTTTGCACCAAACTACATATGATATCATCTTTAAAAATATTCACGAATGTGTGTCAGTAGTCACAGATAAACTTTTAAAAAAAGCTTGTGTTGAGGAAATGAATGCCACGTCTGAACAGCTGGTTGATGAACATAAGAGTGATTTAACAGTCTCGGGAGATGGAACTTGGAAAAAAGGGAATTTACTTCTCTATCTCGAATTGGATACTACAGTGGATAAATAATTGATCTTTTAGTTAAAAGCTCTTACTGTAAGCAATTCGAGCCTTGGAAATCTCACGCGGATACTGCTGAATATCAGGAATGTTGGAAAGAGCACAAAGACGTATGCTCAGCTAACCACGACGGGTCGTCAGGAAAAATGGAAGTTGCTGCTGTTATTACCATGTTCAAACGTTCATTGGAAAAGTCTCAAGTTTGTTTTAGAAACTACGTCGGTGACGGTGACTCTAAAACTTATTCGGAGATTTTGAAGGCTGCTCCTTATGGTCAGACAGAAGTAACGAAGAAAGAATGTAGGTATTGTTCATGTTCAAAAAAGAATTGCCAAACGGCTAAGAAACATGGTAAATAATACTGTAGAACAAATAGAAGATAAGAATGGAAAAAAAAGTTACTTAGTGGCAAATGTAAATTGACTGGGAAACTAATTGATAAATTAACTGTTTGCTATGGTTTAGAGATTAGAAGACACTGTGATTCTGTTCAAAGTATGTATAAAGCCATTTGGGCATCTTATTTCCATAACTGCTATACAGATAAAAACCAAGAGCTATTTTTCCAATTTACGAAGATCTGGGTAACAAAAAATTATTGGAACGATGCGTTGGTGGTTTTACGCAGAACAATAATTAAAGTTATAATCAGCTGGTATGGAAAATAACTCCAAAAATTATTCCAGCTGGCTCAAAAATTGTGGAAATAGCTGCAAACATTGCAGCCGGGGTCTTTAATGAAGGTAAAACATCACTTCTTTATTATATGAGTGCTATGGGATTATTACTTGGACCCAATGCTCATTCCTACGTGAGTAAAGAGGACGCAGAGCGCATCTCAATTTCGAAAGTAAGAGTGCAAGGATCGACGCGCGAGTTGAGGATGGCTCGTAGACAACAACAATTAAACGTTTTGGAGGCAAACGACGAAGCAGAGGGTTCTTCTTATGGTGCTGGAATAGATGACACAATGTAAATTGAAAAAAAATTTAATTTAATGTAAATCGTTCTCGAAACTTCAGGTAATGATCGAAGGAATAAGGTTTTGGACAATAATTTCGATTTTTTAAGCCACTTTGAAGTGAAAAATTTTCATGAAAAACTGAATTTTTTTTTGAACAGCCGCCATTTCGTCAAAAATCAAAATTTTGACTAAACCTCCGATCATTACCTGTATTTATTTATCACAAAACTAAATATTTTTGGTTTTTGGTTTTCAGATAATTTGGACCAGATATATCTTGCTCACCGCCAATCACTTTTTTGGACGTCTCTCTGCAGATCATCTACAGGAGTTAGGGGATCCAATATTTTTTTAAATAAACCGCTGATTATTTAAGTATATTAAATTCTGTTTAAGTACATTTTTTCCATTAATGTATAAAATAAAATGCCTCTTTGGAAAAAATTCACAAAAAAAGCGTTTTTTCTGCCTCGCAAGTGGATATAACTCCTTAAAAAAATAATATTTTCAACTGCAATCAGATTCAATTATATAAGGTTGCAAAAACCAAAAACATAAATTTGTCCAAAGTGTTTCACTCATGTCAAAATCAGCCCTTTTGTTTTATGGTATGATTCAAAAATAAATTTTTAAACATTATCAAACAATGGCAATGTGCTTTTAGAGTTATAACTGAATGTCATTAAATTATTTAAGGTTTAGTTACTTCTTAAGAAAAAATTGTTTAATCCATGCCACAAACATTTTTTCTCATAAATTCGTTGTTTTCATTTTTTTGACTATGTAAGATTTACAATACGAATACATTATTCAGTTATAACTAAAACACACTTTCGTTGGTTAAAAATTTTTCTTTAAAAATTAGTTTTGAATTATACAATTATCAATCATACAAATTTTACGTTATGAACATATAACTTGATGTGCATTTCGAGCATAAATACAGCTACGATCAATAAAAAACAACTTTTGTGGACTATCTTATACATATATCACTGAAAATTAGGAAAAACCACCAGATCTAGCAGGCACTGAGAAATGAATTATAGTTTATAAAATTGTGTTGCACAATATTCAGTTACAGGCGCGTTTTGGTTGTATATTTGAAAAGTTGCCCAAAATTACAAATAATCAGAAGAAATTAACGCATGAACAAAAATCATTATAGGAAATAAAGTAATTTTTTCGGCAAATAGCAGTCACAATTGGTTGTAATGTTGAATAATTACTTTATAATTAATTATTTTTATTCATCTTTTACAAAAAAAAGAGAATAGTGATGTTTTGGAGTGTAAAAAGGGATCAGGTCGTTCTCGAAAGTCAACTGATTGCGGCGGATAAGTTTAAGCGACCGCTTTAAAAGGGTACTTTCTATAAGAGCGGAAGTCGAAACTATACAACGGCAGCTTAGATGGCGTTCAGGTGGTGAGAGGTTAAACGATAAATTTGTTGTAAAGAAAATTAAGATTCCAAGTGATTTGGGGCTGATTTCCTTAGCACGTTTTATTTTATAAACAAATTGCTCCTATGATCTTATTTCAATTATATTTGGTAGAAAGTTTTTATTGATCCCAAGTTTAATTTCCAAACCTATCTACGGTTTGGTTCAAAGAATAAAGAAGAAGAAAAAAGGATACAATTAAATTAAAAACTTGGTTCAATTATAAATAAGTTATTCAGTTTCATTGAAAATAGAAGCACAAACATCATTCTGATATATGTATACAGGAAAATATATCATATTTCTGTCATTATAAATACATTTTTACCATAATCTCTGAATTTCATGTAAATTTAGTATAAATAAGACTAATCATCAATCCGACTTCGTCATCATTGCATATGAAAATATCAAAAAGCATCAACTTTATTTGTGATGCGCGATTTTCTGTGTAACTGCGCGTCGACTACCGGCTTATGCGTTTCAAAACATATGGCAATGTCAGAAATATATTGAATACATTACAGTATATACATATATTTCGTTCATATACGTTACTCTACAGCAATGGCCCCGACACCGGTAATACCAAACTAGTGATTTTATTTTTGGCATAGTGAAACTTTTCCATATATGGACTTTACTTTATCCTATATATAGACAGACAGTCGGACAAAGCTAAATAGGCTCAGCTCCTCACACTGATCATTAGTATATACTTTATAGCATATCCGACGTTTACTTATGGGTATTACAAACGTTGTGGCAAACTAAGATACCAGGTTATTGGTCCGTTCCCACGACAGTCGGGTCTACGAAAACCGGAACGGACCCGGATTTTTATCCGGCCAAGGACTGTCAACTCGGCAGAATTCTGCCATTACAACAACAACAACAACAACCAGGTTATTGGTATAAAAATGTAGATATATTAGTGGCATTAGCAAACGGTTTCTGGACACTCGAAAATTAAAATTTTTTCTATTCAAATTATCGCATTATCAATGTTATTACCTCAAGTGGCTATAGTTAATAGCTCTTTAAAGGTATTTTTAGAGATAAAAGATTAAAGTAAACAAACACAAACGATCGTTGACATGGATTAGTAAAAAAAATACCCAAAAACAGACTTACCTTAACTTTTTCTAAATTCTCTACTGGTTTATTGTTAGTGCGTAGAAAGCTCAATGCATCAAAATAGTATCGGTTAGATGTTCCTTTTGCGCCAACACGTTTCAATTCCGTGTAAAAGTTTGTTCGGAGACTATATATTTTGCTCTTTATGTCCTTCAGTTCAGCATTGGGATACATTTCTCTGTACTTTCTTAGCAAAATTTCATATTGTGTCTTTTTAAATTCTCTATTAAAAAAATATTTATTCTTCCTTTTCCACAATGCGGGGAGAGATTGATATACTTCGATTAATTCCAAAGTGAATTTCCTTTCAATTGGATCTTGTGTATCTTCATCGGTATATAGTAAGAAGTCTGTCTGTTCTACAAATGAATCATCTTCGGAGTCGTCAATTTCATCCAAAGAATCATAATCTCCATTTTTTTCCAGGATTTGCTATTGATTTTTTAGTGTTGAAAAAGAAAGAAATTTATTAGTGGCAAATGGATGTTTAAGTAAAAAAAAAATCGGGGTTCGATCAAATATACATATATACAATGTTGTCCCCAGATGTGTAGAAAAAATAAGTACTTATGTTAAGGGTTAGGTTTGGATGTGATCGAACATTTTATACTATCGTAATTTGGAAGAATTAAAGACGGAAGAAATGTTTTTCCGTATGTGTGTTAGGTGTGAGCAAAACTTTATAAACTTGAAATTTAATTAAGATAACTCATAAATTTGATGATATATTGTCGGCTAAAATAACGAAACCTGTTATATGTGATTTCACCCGAGATTATGCGAGAACTTAAATTTGAAAAAAAAACAGCAAAATGTAACGAAAAAACTAGAGTGTTTTTTTTTCAGCATGATTGGGGATATGACTTTAGTACTTTAAACTATTAATTGTCTGGGTCACGCCTAATTCGTAAACAATTTTCAACTACAGAGGTCTCTCTGTTGCAGCTTAATTTTGGCTTGCTTATAGAACTGAAAAGTTTTTAGAATGGAGAAATTCTGCGGGCATAGTAAGGCATAAGAATATACATTATTATCAGACTCGTTTCGCTGTCTGGCCTAAATGGAATCGCGATCAAGAGGAGGCACCCTTACACCCTAATAGGAACAATTTAGATCTCCGCTCTCATCTTGGATTCTAGTACCGGATCTATGGACCTCGCCGTTTCAAAAAAAAGGGCAAAAACAGTATATTTTATACAAACTTCAATTTAAAATTACTAATTCGCTGGAGTTTGTTCTGCAACAAATTATAGCACTAGTGAATAATTTTATGAATAAAAAGTTTAAAACAATAAAAACTAAATCCATTTCTTTTAGGCAATTGGTATTCATCGATTATCCAAAATCTGAATAAACCTTGGATTGTCCTTAGATTGAAATATCACACTTCAAGTACCACTCTTCAATCTAAAAACAAACCAAAATAATATAAACAAATAACAAATTTGACTAAATATTGATAGTGTTCATAACTTAAATAAGGGTTATTCAGATTTTAGATAATCGATGAATCCCAATAGAGGTAGGTCAATCGGCAATATAGCCCCAAAATGCCCCTTTCACCTTGTTACGTCTTTTATTCAGATGAACTTACCTCCATTTCCTTATCACAATCGGAATAATTATTACGTAGAAAACTCATTGCATCATAGTAATATAAAGAGGGTTCTTCCATTTTGGACTCGCGCAACCGTTTCACTTCCCGCTGAAAATTCGAACGCAGAGCAGCGATTTTTTTCTTAACATCCAACATATTGGCATTGGGCATTATTTCTCTGTATTTTGCAAGCATTACTTCATAATATTTGTTTCTTATATTTCGGTCATAATAAGATTTTATGTTCATATCCCACAGAGCCGGTAAAGAACGATACAAATTAATGAACTCAATAATAAATTGGTTTTCCTCTGTAAGTGCAGTACATTGAGATATATTTTCGTTCTCATTAATTTCTTTCGTCGATTCAATTTTGTTGCCTTCCATAGAGATATCCTGACAATATCATATATGTAATATAATATTATACGTATGTAAGAATTATTTAAACAATTATGTCATTGCTTATAACACAAATCCCTAGAATACTATTTTTATTACTGATCAATTGAGACGACCAAACAAAAAATACATTTCTAATTAAAAATATATTTGATAATCGAAAACTTTTGTGTGGATTTTTTAAGCTAATACGCTTTCAAACCAATTAAAGAAGAATAAATGAAAACATCCATAAACTTGGTGAAAAAATACCTAAACTTTATACATATATTTCACTTGGAAATTAGAAGAGATTGTAGTTGGTTTTGATCTCGTGCAATTTTCGCCTAGCAATAAGGCAATTTAATATGCTTATTAAACAAACAAATATACTCATAGCTTTTATTCAAAATCCCATCAAATGTCAAGTTAGCTTTTCCAGTTATAAAAACTACTGATTAGTCAATTTTTCCAAAATGTATCCAAAAAATTCTTCATCCTAAGGTCAGTGAAGCTATCACATAATAATTAAAAACACTTACCTCATCTTCATTCAAATCAACCATTCTATCTTGTCCATCACACTCCGAGTCATTTTTTCGTATAAAACTTATGGCATCATAGTAATACAGAGCAGGCTCTTTCAATTTAGATGTGCTTAATCGTTTTACTTCTCGGTGGAAATTCGAACGTAGAGTAGCTATCTTTTTCTTAACGTCAAATATATTGGCATTAGGCATTATTTCTCTGTATTTTGTAAGCATAATTTCGTATTGCTTATTTTTAATTGCTCGATTTTGATAAGATGCATTGTTAAAATCCCAAAGAGCCGGCAAAGTGTGATACAAATTTAAAAATTCTATAATGAATTTTCTCTCATTTGTATGAGAGAAATCCAGTTCATTATCCAAATCATGCTCAGTTTCCCTTTGTTCTACTTTTGAAATTTCGGTGTACTCTGTATCACTGTCAATTTCGCTTATTTCATCTGTACGTTCCTCGTTATCTCCTTCCATGGAAATATCCTGTCAATATGAAATATGAACGTCAATAATGAAAATGATTTAAAGAGATATATAGTACATTATATAAAAACACTTACACTTGTATCGTCAAAATCATTCAATAAGTTCTGATTTTCACATTGCGCGTCAGTGTTACAAATAAATCGTAATGCATCAAAATAGTATAAATTTGTTCTAATAGGACGCTTTAATTCTCTACGCACATTTGTTTGTAGACATCTCATTTTTCTTTTAATGTCCTTTTTGACAGCATCTGGATATCTTTCCTTATATTTTTCTAGCAAAATATTGTATTGTATCGCTTTGGATTCACGATCGTTGTATTGAATACATTTCTTATCCCACAACGCCGGTAAAGTACGATACAATTCAATAAGCTCAATAACGAATTTTTGCTCAGAGTTAAGGCCATCTTGTTCTTTAACAGTATTTTTATACTGGGTTCCATTAGGATCTGAGGTAGAAATATTAGAGTTATTGGCGAAATCATCATCTATCTCATTTTTTACATTTTCGTAGACTTTAAACGATATCTAGCAAGAAGAAAATATTAGTATTACATAATTATCAAATTAATATAACATTTTAAGATATAGTTACATATTTGAAGTACCTTTTTTTCACGTAAATAGTTGTTTTTCAAGAAATCCATGGATTCAAAATAATATAGACGAGATGTTACATTTGGAGGACATCTTTTTAATTCGCGACGATATGCTGATCGGAGATTTTTAATTTTCTTTATAACAACTGTTCTGTTGGCATCGGGATATTTTTCTTTGTACTTATTTAATAAAATATCAAAATCTTCTCGTCTTTTGTTTTTGTTCATAAAATGTTTATGTTTATTGTTCCATAGTGAAGGTAAATTTCGGTACAAATCTATTAGCTCAAGAGTGAACTCTTTTTCATCCATAGCTTTGTCGTCTCTTACTTTTTTTGAATCAGTTAAACTTTTAGAATTGTAATCAACTGTCTTCTCGGGACTATTGTTCTCGGAATTGCTCTATAAATATTCAGAATAATATTTTTGTTATAGATTTATAGTAGCAAACTTACTACCCCGTTGTCTTCACTTATAAATTCGTTTGAAATGTCTTCTTCCTTCATATGTAACGCAGTATCCATTCCTCCTGAATCCAGTTCTATTTCAACTCTCTCAAATCCATTTAATATACAGCTTTTATCATCGTTTACCTACTAGCACACAACAAAATATTTCTTGAAAAATAGTATTTTTAAAACAATTATATACCTCAATAGGATTTTCCCAAGGTTCCTCGAATTCTATGTCTTCTAAGGTAGGGCTTCTCTCCGATTCAGATTCCAAGGTATTAAAGCTCAGCCTATGATTCTCACACATATGTCGTATAAACTTGTCCAATTGTAGATATGTAGAGTCACAAAATTCACATATCAGAAAGAACTCGTCTTTTCCCACTGCTAATAGAGTTGCTATTTCGCCACATTTTGTTAAACCCCATTTATTAAGTGTTTTTAACTCTAGAGTCATTATTAAATTTTAAACGACGAAACTTTCTTTTTATAACAATCCTTGAACAAAATGAAAACAACGCTCATTGAGTTTAGTACTCGTATGAAAGAGATATTAATTTGTTATCGATATACCGAAACAAACATTAGTTTTACATGGGTTCTACGTCTAACATTTTTTATTTCAAATGATCATTTTGTGTGTAACAGTACATTAACAATTGAATAAATCATATTTAATTTTTTAACTGATTATAATTACATATATTTTCAAGTGAAAATTTCTTTTTAATTACTTTAAATATACAAAGAAATACTTAAAATAAAATTAACTTTTATTTGCTGATTTCAATATAAAGAAAATATTGTTAAGAAATTTCTAAGCGATTTCGATTGCAATACCAATTTATAAGCATGTATTGTGACGAGCACGAATGCCAGAACAAAATAGAATTAACGATACAATGCCAGAATCAACTATACTGTGAAAATCGTAGTTGTCAAAAKGTTCGAGAGGTGATGTTTCGGTAATGATCTACTATGTATAGTAGTGCTACTTAGTAATGAGCTAAAGAAGAAGTTGTAAATTCGAATAACTTGTAATAAAGCGTTAAAAAGTCTCCGTAACATGGGCTATTTCCGAATTAAGAAAATTGTTACTATGATTTTTTCTTGACATAGATTGATTCCTGTGTTACCCGATTACTGGAAATAAGTAAAGTTAATTCACTTTTAAGGTGGGAAAATGCGGTTCACAGAACGAGAATCTCTGAAGCTAATATTGGCTCAGCTAGCGTCCAACTAGAAATAACAAAGGGATGCCCCAGGAGTCCTGTTATGAATGAGCTTCTGGATTTGTTAACTTCCAAAAGGGTGCACTGTCAAGGCTACATGACTACAAATCAGACAAAATATGCTGGGTCATGTATGGAGTGGCATCATGGATATCTAGAGGTGAATATCCATATCAGTGTGAAGATAACAGAAAAGAGGTCTACTTTAGACCCGCTGTCAGCAGGGCATGGTGAAGCAGGTAATTTTGTACCGTTGGCACTCTTTCCTAGAGACGACATGACCGAGAGAATTTACTTTGAAATTGGGCTGACTCACTCGTCAGCAAAAATGAATGGGAGGACTCCATCCTTGAGAAATACCTTCATAGGAGCACAATGCTATGGTATACATACGGCTCGAAAACTGCAGATGGATAGTGAGACCACGTACCAAACTTTCAAAGCCCATGGGCAGATTTCCAATCATTTTTTAATCCGAAGTTTATGCCATTAGCAGATGTACAGCTATCACGGGGAACGAATTGTCGTTCTCAGTAGTAGTAAAGCACTTTTAATTAGCAATGGTATTCTTCTTCTTTACTGTCACAGATAGCGATTACGCGATTATAGCCGAGTTACCAACAGTGCGCCAGTCGTTTCTTCTTTTCGCAAGGTGGCACCAATTGAAGATCCCAAGCGAAGCGAGGTCCTTTTCCGGCGGGTACTACATCGAATACTTTCAGAGCTGGAGTGTTTTCATTCATACATACGAGAAAATTCAACCAGCGCAGCCGCTGCCTCTTGATTCGCTATGTCAATGTCGTATATATCATTCCATCGAATGCGATAATCGCCGTGGTCAACGCGCAAAGGACCGTAAATCTTTCACAGAACCTTTCTCTCGAAAACACCTAAGCCCGACTCATCAGATGTTGGCATCATTAATGCCTCTGCAGCATATAGCAGGACATGAATAATGAGTGGCTTAGAGTTTGGTTTTTGTTTTCTTGACATAGAGACATTAATGGAAATGAGCTAGAAAATTAAAGAAACTATTGGCTCTTCCCAGAAACAAATTAAGGCAGCTTGTGGGGTTATATGCAGGTCCATGCAGATAGCAGTGTCATCTGCATAGATTTGGGTACTGTTTCACTGATCGATGTCGCTTGTGTAACCATAGAGAATATACAGAATAATTAAAATATCCCAAAGCTAAACCAACGTGAAATGTGAATATGGAAATCGGTTTTATGTCGATCGATTCGGGTATGACAACCAGAAAACCTATATATGATACATTTATATTTAAATGTCACCTAGTCTGCTTTTCGACAAGTGCCTCAAAAATTTGCATAAATTGTTTGCTCGTTATGACAATAGTGTTTGCAGAATAAATTTTAAAAATATTTTTGTTTAAATATAAAATGATTACTGTTTTATTCACTAACCAAATAGAGAAACACTATATTTGTGTTTTACTTTAAAGCGTGACTATAGAGCCTTTTGAACTTGCTGCAACTAATGTCGTACCATGTGACTTCATATGAGCACTCAAACCGGCATATTGAGCAAATCGTTTATCACAGATCTTGCAGGCATATTTCTTTTCTACAGCATKGATCTGTTTGTGTTGTCGCAGATGCTTGGTACTAGTAAAACCTTTATTACAAATATTGCAAATTTTATCTCGCACATTTTGGTGGACTTTCATGTGTTCTCTWTAAAAACCTTTACTATAGAAACCCTTATTGCATATTTCACACCTGTGGGTAGGTTTATTCTCATGTCTTCGCATGTGCATATTAATTTTTGATGAAGTACGAAAATTTTTACCGCAYACATCGCAAACGTATGGCCTTTCACCGGTGTGTGAGCGCATATGGATTTTTATTTCTGTGGTCGTTGCGCACGGCTTGCTGCATACCTCAMATTTATACAAGTAGTCCTGTACATGCCTTCSTAAATGTACCGACAAATTTGTGGTCAACTTAAAACCATGACCACATACATGACATTTAAATGGAAGTGAACCATCATGAGATGCAACATGCACTTTGTACTGACATACGCCCGCAATTATTTTCCCACATATCSAACATTCATARKGGGTAACATCTACTTCGAGATATGATATGTGTTCATAAAATTTGCAACTTGGCCTGTAGTTCTTATTTCGCTGTTTGCATAATATTTTTAGTCTTTTTTCMTGAGAGCATATTTTTCGAARTCGTCCAATTTCACAACCGATATCGTAACGTGTCAGACTTAAACCTGTTCTTTTATTAAATTTATCGTGAACAGCTTTTACAGCTTCTCGGCGTCTATTACCAAATCTGTATSCTATATCTGTTTCATYCCAAAGACAAKAATACTGTTTGTATATTTCCGCCAAGAGAACACTTTGAACATMATTTAAAAGACTTCCGGGCATTGACATGTTTTGAGCTGTTGTTGTTGCAGGAAAAACAAWTGCGTTAGCCTCAGTTTTGCACTTGACCTACAAATGAAAGGAAAGTKTARTTTTAAATATACGCGATGAAATGTTTTGCCYCATACATCTAGTAAATATATAGTATGTAYGTTTAAAWAATGCRTACTTATTTCCAATGATTAACTCACTAACAACGTTGYCCAAATAGTACATCTTTTTTAAACCAACTTAGTTCTCATGGTTTGCAGCTATACTCAAAATTCGCTTTACCCTCTTTTATTAACCTGACAGTATTGCGTTATTAAATACAAAATTTCATTATAATCTATATATAACAGAAAGTTGTATTATAGGTGCGCTACTTCGTGGTGAGAACCGTCTGGTACTAGGCGACTTTAACACGCATCATGATCTTTGGCATTCCTGCCTGTCAAATGATGGTAGGGGAATGGAGCTGGCGGAACAGATTGACGATTCGACATTCTGCACAATGAATGACGAAGCCCCCACCAGAATTGTGGGAACCAGGTATTACTACTGCTAGCGGTGGTCTGACAAATAGCATAACCGCATCAGACCATCTTCCCATAATTATCTCGATCGAGAAGCCTCCCGATTTCGTTTCTCTGGACAACCGTACCTACATTAACTTTAAAAAAGCTAATTGGGTCGGCTTCACAGAATTTAGCGAGAGCACCTTAAACGCTCTACCTATTCCTACGATTCCGCAAGGTGATAGCAGCAGCTACCGCTCGCTTCATCCCGGCTGGAAGAATACCGGAAATCCACCCCAATTTCCCAGCCGAAGCAGCCGTCTATTTTAGCTGGCAGTTTACACAGCACCCTTCGGTAGACAAAGCAAAGAGATGTGTTAACCGACGGCTGACGGATGAAGACGTTCAGAGTGTCAAAAAAGTAAAATCTTCCAAATCCATTGGCCYTGATGGAATCAACATGCTAATGCTAAGGCATCTAGGCTCAACGAGGGTTATTTACCTCACCAAGGTCCTCAACCTGTCACTGACCACTCTTCAAATACCCCATGTGTGGAAAATCAGAAGAGTGGTCCCACTACTGAAACCTGGGAAACCCGCCAACAAAGGGGAATCTTATCGCCCGATAACTCTCCTCTCCCCAGTAGTGMAGACACTTGAGGCCTTGCTACTCCCGACTTTCACTCACCACCTGAACCTAGCCAGTCAACAGCATGGATTCCGAAAAATGCACAGCACCACCACAGCACTTAGCGTCATAAATTCTCAGATAGTTCGTGGCCTTAACCAGAAATCACCCTGTGAGAGAACGATCCTCGTAGCGTTGAACTTGTTAAAAGCTTTTGACACAGTCAACCACACAACGCTACTGCAGGACATCGAAAAACTACGCTTCCTCCAAGGCTAAAGAGGTGGACCATGAATTATCTGAACGGTCGTCAGCCATCCGTACAATTTCGAGGAGAAACATCCAAACTGAGAAGAATTAAAGAGGGGGTTCCGCAGGATGGTGTCCTTTCCCCGCTACTGTTTAACTTCTACATTTCGAAACTCCCGCAACCACCAGAGGGGKTTTCCATAACCTCGTACGCTGATGACTGTACGATATTGACGTCGGGCAATGGAATCGATGGCATGTGCTCGAAGTAAACAACTACCTCTCCGACCTTTCTCGTTTTCTCACTGCACGAAACCTTACACTTTCCCGCACCAAATCCACAGCGACCATATTCACGAACTGGACGAAGAAGTACAGACTTGGACTTAATATTGCAGTCGAATGAGTCAAAATTCCGACTGTCAATAACCCTAAGATTTTAGGCGTAACTCTCGATAGTCCTTCTCTCCTCATACGACCGCGATTATAGCCAAAGTACAGAGCCGCAGCAAGATC